GTGCGTGTTATACGCCGATAAATACGGTATTTTCCCTCTTACTGATAACAAACACCATGGATATTTGGAAATTTAGCTTGACTTGTTTTATTTATTCAATTTATTTGCTATCTCACAACACAACACAACACAATACAACCTTGAGGGAGACTTGACCAGTGAGATGCAAGGTAAAACAAAGACTTTCTGTATTAATGAAGTCTCACATACTCTTGGCAAGAATTTAAATTCTTACTCTGTACTTTCACATAGCTGATTTTCATTTGCTATATTTCTGCCAATTTTCATTCAGGCTTATGTTTAATATTAATGCATTATTAGCTAGCTCTGCAAATCCCATTTGGGTCAAAATTCTGTGAGACGTTTTTCAAGAAAACCTTTAGGAAGAGAAAAATATATATTTTGCTCTCGATCTGAACTGAGTTTGGAAAAATAGAGCCAGGAAGCAGCACCATTATAAAACTATTGTCATATTGGTTATTAGCTGGGCAGCAAACAGCAGTGAAAGAACTAAACAACAGGAGATTTGTCTGCCCTCACGAAGATCCTTGTTTTGCAAACACAGAGGGCAGCTGCTATACTATTTGCTGAGATGGACATCTTAAAACATGCGTATCTTCATGTCTCACCCACATTCAATGATGGAAAAACAAAATTCTCTATTTCAAAATAACAAGAACCACAAAAGCATCTTTGTATATTTTCACTAAGGATAATCCTCCTTGTAGAGGAAGAGAGATCAAACAACATATTCCACTGAGTCAGATTTAGGACATGTTGCCGATTAACCTTAATTAAAACTTAAATGTTACTCTTGGACAGTAAATGGATTGTGGCTAAGCCTACAAGTAATCAATCCAATTAAGCATTACAATTAAATAAGACACAAAAGAGCTTCAGCAAGAAGTTGCAATATGGACTGCTGCTGATCAGTTTCCAACCAGCCATTCATGCTTTCTTCTATGAGTCAAACTTCTTCAATCTGATTTTCAATTCCTCTACTCAACACTGAGTAGTCTGTAACCATACAATTTTGGGTTGCTCTAATTTCTTTACTAAAAGCAAGATTGCACAATGGAAGCAAAAGTTTATTAAAATCAGTATCCTGTTCTCCTTGACAGCCAACTTTCTGAGCAGCTTATCAAATAAACCTGAGGATTAATTAGAAACTAGTATTTAAGGGCTTGCTAGAGGAAAAAGACAGCTCTGTATCCTATTTGGTAGCTAATTAGAACTTCGTTCAATTTCCCTAATATGCTTTGCAAATTGGTAAACATTATCCCTATACCTGATGATGAAGAATCCTTATTTAAAGGAGTATTTTGTGAACTTTTAATCATTTACTTTCTTTGGACTCCTAGAATAATGGAAGAAAATTAGACATGCATTTTTGCAACACCATACGTAACTTTCTGCATTCTATTATTTCCTTCCACTTTTCATTATAGAGTAATTCCAGCAGACTAATGACTTTTGATTCAGTGCAACATCTGAAATTATTTCTAACATCATTATCAATAAAAAATGGGAAGTTCATTGGTATAATCTAGCACAATCCAGTGTTCTGTAAGGCAGTTAAAAAAATTCTGCACTACTAAATTTGAGTTTATTGGTTTTTATGGCATGCATCACAAAGGGTGTTTTCTTAATACTGTTTTGACTATTACTTCTTAATGCATTTTTCTTTTATTCCTGTTCTATTGTATGTTGCACTAAGTCTGTGGGTTGATGAAACAAAAAACTTAAGATTTCTTTTTTTAAAATATATTATTATGAAATATATTATCAACTAATATATTAATTATAGCAATTAATTATTGATTGTTTTAAATATATGAACCCAGACAACAAATTGTTCATTAAGCACTAAAGATTGTTATTGTAAAAAAAACCCTTAGATTTCTTAATACAGTCTAGAATTAGGTGGTTATGAAAGAGAGTGTAGCTGTTAAGGTTGATCCAGAATGAGGGAAACCCAAATTCAAGTCTACCCTCAGCCACAACTGCCTTCCCCAACCAGATTCAATTTGTCTAAATAATTCCTCTCAAGAGAAGCTGTGGGTAATCCCTCATTTTGGTGAGATGATATAGGCCAAATGCAGGAAACACTAGATCTTGGACACAGCTCCAGATTTTGGAACAGCCTTGCCATATAGATTAAATTAGCCTCATTTTTGGGAAGGTTGTTACAATAGAGTTCTTCTTCCAAAGGAGTTTGGGGGATTTATGGACATTACACTGAGTGTCAAGCCATGAGTAAATTGTGCTCGATATATTTTCTCTTTTTTATTATGAATTTTATTATGAATGTTTTCATGTATTGCTTGTTTTTGTATGATTATAATTTTATTAGCCTCCAGATTCAATAAATAAATGGATATTACTATCCAGATTTATGCAACCTCGACCAATTCCCAGCTGCCACGTCAAACAGTGAGAGGGGCGGTATATAAATAAAATAAAATAATTTGTGAAGCCAGGTTAAAGCACCTGTATTATCAGGCACTAAACAGGTAGCTGGCTTACCAACTGGTTGTTTAACAAATGTTTACAGTTATGATGCCCTTGGACTTCCAGCTGTCGTAAAGTACTGTGCTATCCCCTGCAGTCATGTGATTGCAATCTGGGTGACTGGCAACCTGTCTGCATTTACAACTGGTTGCCATTTGCAACCTTCTTTGCTGTATTTCCCTCTCATCTCTGGAGGCTGGTTGAAAAAGCTGCCTGCTAAGGGGAGCTGAACTCCTTTAGTGGCGTGAAGGAATGGAGTTCAGATTCTGAAGATCTGAGCTATTCCTGCATGCTGCCAAAAACATTCCCTTTCCCACGTGAAGGGGAGCTTAAATCCTTTAGCGAGGTAGAAAAAAATGAAACTCATACCCTGATGATTTATGCTCTGCTTCCTGATCCCGGGGAAGGGGTTCCCTTCCATGCATGGAAGAAAGCTGTCATCCTTTGGCAAGCAGCTCTTTCAGCTAGTTCCTAGAGAGGAGAGTGAGCCAAAATGCAAGCAGGATTTTCAACTCTTGAGCAGAGAGGCAGCACAGAAGATAAGGAGTTTGGGATGCCTCAGGTGGGTGGGGAAGGAGGCCTGGTGCAGCTGCATGTGAGTGTCTCTTCATTCAGGGGCTGTAAATCCTGCTTGAATTTTGGCAGGGGAGATTTTCAGCTTCTGAACGGAGGCTCCCAGATTCCCTGCCCACCCCCTCAGGCACATTCCTTACTGTCCACTTAACAACCACAACAGGGAGTGCCAGGATTGTGATCACTGAGCAAAGCAGTCATGGGGGTCTCAGTCACATGACATCTTGCTTAACAACTGCTTCGCTCAACAACCAATCCCAATTGTAGTTCATTAAGCGAGGACTAAGGACTACCTGTAAAGTCCTTCATGGTTTTGGCAACACAATATATGAAGGAATATTTCTTCCTGTAATTACCAATCGTATTTTAAGATCTTCTTCAAAGAGGATATTCTCCCAGGATAATAATGGTTAGTGTCCCCTCCACAGTTGTTAAGTGAACCAATGATTTGCAGTGAGTGCAGTTTTGGCAAAAACTGGCATTATTCTGATTTTCAGCAAAACTGTTGTAAAGTGTGGTCCATGGGACAATGCAAATGGCTGTAAATGCAGTCCAATTGTCAAGCACCCAAAGCACAATCATGTGACCTTGATGTGTGTGTGTGTGTGAGAGAGAGAGAGAGAGAGAGAGAGAGAGGGAGGGAGGGAGAGGGGAGAGAGAGAGAGAGACTCTCTCTCTCTCTCTCTCTCTCTCTCTCTCTCTCTCTCTCTCTCTCTCTCTAAAGAGAGTGTGTGTGTGAGAGAGAAAGAGGCTATCAGAATATCGAATCTGGCTTGTAAGTCCCCCAAAGTAGGTCTGTCAGAACTTTGAACTGTTGCTAAGCAACCATTCGTAAACCAAGTACTACCTGTATCTGTATTTTCATTCTCTCAGATACTTTAATCAATTGATGTACTAATTGCTCTTACTATTTTATATTTATAATGCATTTTAATTGTTACTTATATTTTAGTTTTCATTTAAAATCTCTATACACTTTTATGATTTCAATGTCCTGCAAGCAGCTAGATATATACCTTGTTTTGAAGGACAGCATACATATTTTTAAAAGCCTGTAAAAAATAAACCGAGAAATTGGAAAACCTAAGAACACCACAGCAAGACTAAGTAGGCAATATTCTAGCAATACAAGGGCTCAGTTCAAGTTAAACCAGATTATTTTACGCATCGTTTGTTGAGTAAATCTGTGTGGCCTGGCTATAGCTAAGTAAAACTGAGTCAGTCTGAATATCAAGCAAGGCCAAAATCAAACAGATATCAGTATCAAGAATATATTTTTCATAATTCTTGACATTCTTGTGATTATAAAGGCACACACAATTTAAAAATTGAATGAAACATCGAAGTCTTACCAGAAGCATAAAAATCAGGGTCAAAGTATGCCATGAGAAAGAAGTTGAAGACAAGTAGCAGGAAACCAGAAAATGTTATCAAATTTGGGGCCAGCCACTTAGGGAAAATCTAGGAGAAAGCAAGTAAAAAAAACACACAGCAAGTTCATATTAATGGGCACAGTAATTTTCATCAAGGATAAATAAACAAGAGGAAAATAACTATTCATTTGACATATGCCTTTTTTCCTTATTGTTCTATAGCAGCAGAACATAAAATCCAGTCTACAAGGTGACTGCATGTCCAAATGATCAAGTTTTCTGAAGAAGTGAATCTCCTGGGTTAGTCACAGAGAAAAGGAAGGGGTTGTATTAATATTAAATGGGTCATAAATTTTTTCTACTTACAGAGAGTTAAACAAAGCCCAAGTGTAGCACAGAAAGCATGCACAAACAGGGCAGACAATAGGTTTACTCACCTTAACTACAGTGTTCCAAAACGGATGCATGACATACAGGGAAAGAGGGTTGTTGTCCACAGCACTGTACTATAAAGGAAGCCAAGAGAACAGAGGATCAGCTGAAAGCCTTAGAAAGTTCTTCCAGCCAGCTTACAAGTAGGACATCTGCATTCACATCACCTCACATTTCTCCAGAATCAAGCAACAGGTTGTTCTATGGAAGTGAGAAGCCTCTACATATTCTCTCTTTACAAACATTTCTGGAGAAGCATTCACTAATGCTCTTTGCACCTGACAACTACCCTTCAGGGCCAGGTTTCATAAAACTGGATAACTGTATTTTACTGCTCAGAGCACAACTGTTTGTAAATACCTTTTAATTTCACAACAGAGGGATATAGACCACCTCTAGTAACATGATGGTTGTGTCAATTCCATAAGATCAATGACAGGGAAGATAGAGTACTGGCAGTAATCTATTCTGATTGATTAATAGTGAGAAGGGCCATGTTATAGGTCATAATTAGGTTGGTCTTTCTCAGAACTGAATATTGTTATTAGTCACAACTCAATGGAGCAGATGTGACCGCCTGCTAATGTTCATGTAGCTGCTTGTCCTACAGCAACATTTAAAATTTGGCTAAGCATCCATATCATTAACTCACATCAAAACCACTCCAAATTGTCAATCAAGCTTCCAAATTATGATTTTGTTTGTTTTGCTTTTCTCTCTGATGAATAAGGATTGCTTCCAGACAAATAAGGAGGGCTATGTTCAAGGGACTATTTATGAGTTCAATACATTTGGGTTGTGAGTTCGCATAAAGCAGTTTCTGGATGGTAGACAATGGAGCTTAACACACACATGCATACATACATAATTGCTTCAGGGTGATAGTGGGTGGTGGTATGTTCCTGGAAGGGATGAATGAAGCAGTCTGGGAGTTTATGCCAAGAGTGTATACTCCTACTGGAGTCATCCAACTAAACAAGTGGGCACCCACATCAGGCAGCAGCAGCAGTGTAGGAAGATGTTGATGGCACATGATCACAATTAAGACACAATTGCAAACAGTGCTGGGGAAGGCAATAGCAAATAATTCCTATCTTTTACCACCCCACCCTAATAAAGAATAATATACTGTAGTGCCAATTATGAACCCTTGAATCTGAATGGCACTCCACATGTAATTGAGGAAAAGCTGGAGATCTCTCAGAATTCTGATGATGTTTATGATGTGGCTACATTTAAGTTTTCCATACTTCTTGATGCTGACATTACCATGCAGGAAAATCTACAAAGGCAGAATTGTAAGTGGGACCATGGAATATAAGAAGTATGAACATGGGAAAGCGGTGAAATATCTTGAAATTAGATCGAAAACAATCATAGTGTTGATTGTTCTGAATACAAAAACAAAGAAGAACAGCATTGCTTTCATAGTCAGGAAGCAAACACAGCACATAGGTACAATGCAAACAATGACCAATTACTGTCAGTTAGATTTATTAAAGGAATAACCCTTTAATATGATAAGTTATCCAGGATTATCTCTGGAAAGGGGTAGAAGAGGAGATTTACCAGTTTTATGATCAAGTTTAATCTGAAATTGATTTAACAAAATATCTGCTTATGTAATGCCAAAGTTAGAAATATTAAGGAAGAAAATGTAATTGAACTGTACAATCTAGGAAACAAAGGAAGAGGAAAGTAATTTACCAGCTTCTGCCAATCTAATGATTCCTAAATTACTGACAATTTCTCAAACAACTAAAACTACATCTACATACATGGACATCAATAGATGAGTCACAAAGAAATCAATCAATTATATTTTTGGTACAAGGAGGTAGAAGAACAAAGACGTGGAACAGATCATAAGCTACTCCTATGCTACTCATGTTCCAAATCAAAGTAGAACTATACTCAGTTTCTACAATATTTCCATTCCATTTGTCTCCATGCAGCCTGCCCACCAAATACTTTTTAGTCTCAGGGACCTCATTGCTTCTTTGCATTTTGACCGTGAGAAAAAGAAGTGTTATGAAGCCATGCCTAGATACATGTTAGAAGTCTGTGAAAAATTCTGTTTAGCTTGGTTACTGTTTGTAATTAAGTCTATCCACCTTGCTGCTAGTCATCTTCTTGTTCATTTTTCCTTCCATCTTTTCAGGACTTGGTAAGGAAACAGAGTTTTCGTGCTGTATTCAAAATATGATAATTTGAATTTGGGTCATTTGTGCCTTGTGTAAGAACTACGATCCATTTTTTGTTTTCTTGGCTGTGCATGGTATTTTCAGAAGTCTTCTTCAAGACCAAAGTTCAAAAGTATGAGTACAGTGCTCTTTCTACCCTACTTCTTCAGTATCTATCTTATAAGAGAAAAAGGATGGAAGCAAGCAATTTCGGGAGGGTGGGGGTGTCCTTGGTGCTTGTTTTCTTGCAGACGTTTCATTACCCCAAACTAGGTGAAATCATCAGTGCTAGTCTACATAGAAGCCATCAATTTCATCATGAAATGAGATCTCTGAGCTTTATTGATTGCTTGCTTGCAGATGTTTCATCACCCAAATAGGCAATTTGATGATATTATCTAGTTGGGTAATGAAACATGTGCAAGCAAACAACCAAGCTCAGACAGCAGCAACAATCCCACGATATCTGATTATAATGCCTCTACTGTAATAGTTAAGTTGTTGGATGCTGGAGTAAGAAATAGAATCTCCTTTCCTTTAGGCAGTTAAAATTCTTGATCTGGTGAGAAATCAATATCATAGAAACTGGGTTGGCTCAGATATCTCTTGTTATTTTCAGCTGAATAAGAATAATTAAAATTAAGAATTGTGAAGCAGTATTGTATCAAACAACAATCAAAGGAAGAAGCAGCATACATCTAACAAACCCCTACTACCCGATCTAACCCAACCAGAAGCAGCCCTATTAAAACTGAGCAATTGATTTCTCCCCCTAAATGGAAATACACAGATCTACAACCTCTCCCTCAAAGAAAACATGCAGACACCTAGCAAAGAAACAACACCAAATATCCCTAAAAAAGTCACATCAACAAACACACCTGAGATAAACAGAAAAGCATCTCAGACTGCACCTCCCCCCCCAAAAAAGGCAAGTGCTAGTGATAGGAGATTCTATTCTCAAAGGAACAGAATCAGCCATCTGCAGGGAGGTATGTTGTCTTCCTGGAGCAAAAATCAAAGGCGTGGCTGAGAACCTAACCAAAATAATTAGGCCCACAGATTACTACACTCTCCTACTCCTTCACATTGGGACGAATGACACAACAAAGAAACTGAGCACAATACTGAGAGACTATAAGCAACTAGGCCAGTGGTGGCGAACCTATGGCACGGGTGCCAGAGATGGCACTCAGAGCCCTCTCTGTGGGCACGCGCGCCGTCGCCTCAGTCCTAGGCCTTCAGCTAGGTTTTATAAAATCTTTTCGCTTTAGGCCTCCGCTGCCTTGTGTAAAAAAAAAAAAAGGTTCAATCAGTCAATTTCAACTTCTTGCAGGAAAAAAAAAGATCTTGCAAAGTTGGAATTGATTGATTAAACTTTTAGTCCCACCCAGTCTGCCATTACCACCGCAGCCATGCCCACCCAATGGGCCTGTGGGAAGTTAACCCAGAGAAGGAAATATTAAAAAGGCAGAAAGAAAGATATTGTTCACCAAAAGGATTTTTAAAAGCATTTTCTGAAAAGCAGAAACCAAACCTGGCCTCATCTCTTTGCCCAGGGCAGTAGTTAGTCTTATACATATGCAGATGTGGAACCATCAGAAAGTTTGGAGCCAGGGATCTCAAGACA